TCAACAGATGTGTGATTACTTTGTAAGTAATAACGATTGAATTTACCAGTTAAAAAACTCCACGTGACTAAATTAACTGGTTAATCAGTTAATAAAGTTAACCAGTTAACCATTTCTAAAATTAATCAGTTAACCGGTTAACTCTTAATTGTAACAGTTAATTAACCGGTTAAAGAATTTTTGCGTGGTGCCAACCTCTAAAATAAACATGCAATGTAAAATAAACATGCAACGTAAAATAAACATACAATGTAAATTAACCATTTGAATTATTATTTTTCATAGCTATCTTACAGAAAAAAATGACTAGATATATTACAAATCCAGATACTGGCAGAAAAATTCATGTTGGAGGAACTCTCTTTTGCAAACTCCTTTATGATAGATATGATTTCATTCAAGGAGAATTTGTTCAGAGAGCATGGACTCCTGATATAGTAAGAAGATATGTTTATAATGTAGTAACACATCGTAGAGTTCTGGTAGATGGCAGGCAATATAATACCTATATCCAAAATGGATGGGAAGTAAACAATCAAAATCAACTATTCCCCCCTGACCATTTATGGGAATTACCCCAGGAAAATGCTAGGCGCGAAAATCATATTCTTCCTACTTATGAGAATCTTATGGCTATACATGGAGAAAGACTTGCAAATCTTAATATTACTCTATGCTGAGAATGTTTTATTGCAATCAAAATAGAAGAGGGTGAATTTTGCAATGAGCATAAGCCTTAATTCTGATCCTTTCACAAGATTACCTAATTGAATAATTATATTTTTTATATAAAAGTACCAAAATGTCAAATGAATTAACTGGCAGAGAAATATGCAATGGTTGTGGCCATAAAATTCCACTATCTAATCCAAGACTTAGTGTTAATAATTTCCGGCGCTGTGTAAATGAAATTACAGATCTAGATGGGCTTATTAAATTCAAGACTTATTTGAGACGCTTTATTAAATCTAGATGCCGAGTTAAGGCAACTGCAATCAACTTCATAGAAACTTTGGAAAAACTGATTGAAGATCATGGCCATGATATAGAATATATCAGAATATGGCTATTGGGGATTATTAATGATCCAATTGATTATGAACCATCTAAACTTAGTAGAGAAATGCATCTTTATAGATTTCTGCAGTCCAATTATAGTGAAATAAATGAAACTTTTACAGAGTTCTATGAGAATTATATTCAAACTACAGATGCTCCTTTGGGTAAAAATAGTGTATCTAGATCATTAAATGCTTTAGGCCTTAAAACTGTAATGAAAAAAGTAAATATACCTGGTAGAAACCCAAAATGTTGTATGGTTTTATATGCTACAAAGGATGAATTATCAGAAATCTTCCAAAAAAATGGAATTTGAGAAGTTATTATTCTTTCAATTCCTTAATCCCAATGCAGTATATTTTTTTATCAATATGGCCATCAGAAAGGAGCCAGGTAAGTATTTCACATCCCTCTATATATTTTTTTTCATCCAGTGGCCTTGAATCCAAAAGATCTT